TTTATCTAATTTTTATGGTGAGTGAATAATCTGAGAAGAAGACTGCATCAGGACCACGGCAGGCAAACGAATTGACAACTACAATATACAGATGACATAATCTTGCTTGCTGTAAGTAAAGAAAACCTGAAGCATTTACCGTTGAAGGTCAAAGACTACAGACTTCAGTATGGCTGGTGGCTGTGTGCCGTGGAGTCAGTTCTGACTCATAGAGACCCTGTACAGGGTTTCCGAGGCTGTAAATCTTTATGGGAACAGAACGCCTCATCTTTCTCCCACGGAACAGCTGGTAGTTTCAAACTGCTGACCTTACAGTTCACAGCCCGATTCGTAACCACTATGCTACCAGAGCTCCTTACAGACTTCAGTATAGGTTACACATAAGATAAAGAAAACAAAAATCCTCACAGCTGAGTTAATAAGCAACATCGGGACAAACGGAGAAAAGATTGATGTTGTCAAACATATCATTTTACTTGGATTCTCAGTCAATGCCTGTGGAAACAGCAGTCAAGAAATCAAACAATGTATTGTATTGCTTGCTGCAAAAGACTTAAGTGTTAAAATGCAAAGATGTCACTTCAAAGATTAAGGTGTGCCTGACCTAGCCATAGTATTTTCAACTAAACCATATGCATGTGAAATCTAGATAATGAGTAAGAAAGACTTAAGAAGAGTTGATGCCTTTGAATTATGGTGTTGGTAAAGGATTTTAATATACCATGGCTGCCAGAAGGACAAACAAATCTGTCTTGGAAAAGATGATAAGAAATCTGCCTCTTTTATGCTGACTAAGCAGGATGTCCTTTTCCAGGGACTGGTCCCTCCTGATAACGTGTCCAAAGAATGTAAGACAACATCTTGCTGTCCTCACTTCTAAGAAGCATCCTAGCTGGGTGATTTGCTGCTCTAGTATGTTTCCATGTCCTCGGCTTTCTAATAAAAACATTGCTGATAATATCTACTTGAAAGCCTTGTTGTGGGACTGAGAGAAGGCACTTAATAGAAAGCAAATCACTCAGTGCATGGCAGAGTGGTCATTCCATAAAGGGTAATAATTACTGTTATCAGAGGTCACCTTCTTGGTTAGGTATCTGGGTACTGTAACTGAAGTTAGGAGGCAAACAGAAGTATTCACTCATTCATACCAGGGTGACAAGAGGATTCTGAACCTCTTAAACCAGTTGCACCTGACGCTTACAGGTGGCTGCTGCAGGGCCCTCCTGCACTTGTCACTAGGGGAAGACACGAACACAGCGTGGCTCTCTAGTATTAGAAGCAGACAGTTCAAGGCTAGGAGTTTCACTCTGTCCATGGTAGGTTCCAGCGGCTCCTGGAAAACTCATCCACTTTTCTGCAAATTTATACACATAATCCTCAAGTGTGCTGAAGCAAGTGGCTTCACCAAGTCAAAGCTGAATACAGCCACAGGATTACAATTTGCAAACTATGTGTTGGGGG